CGGCGCCAGTACAACTCCAATTCAGAAACGATGATATAATTAGTGATTTGCTTACTGGAAAAATATTTAAGAGTGTGAAACATTTTTAACAACTTTTTTCAAGAAATGAAAATGTTGGGCCACATAACAGGAAAAAAGGGTATAAACTAGGGTATAATTACAAAGTTTAGTTATTGAAATATGAAACGTACCCTGGAGATTTCAAGAATTATTGATCTCCTCCGATTACCATAGCCATTTGAGGAGCGTATGATAATCACGGACTATGAATTCTAACACTTGAAAATCCAAATAATTAAAATCAAGAAACAATTATCGACTCTTTCACTTGACGGCTTAAAAACCATCGAAACAATTATGACTCTAGTTGGCTATGAAGTCTATCGGCTGGCTATGAAGTTTAATCCAAGTTTAGCCAAGTCAGTTAGGCCAAGTTAAAAATCACAGAAAAAAGGATATATTATCATAATTAACCATTTATGGAGCGTATGATAATCACGGATTATGAAATAAATCAAACTCAAGAAACAATTAGTGACTCTTTTAGATTACGGCTTAAAAAGTATTGAAACAATTTTGACGCTAGGAAGCTTAACCCAAGTTTGGCCAAGCCGGTTAGGCCAAGTTAAAAATCACACCAGAATCCATAATTAGAATTAGTTTTCCAATTAAACTAATTGGTAATTCCACGAATATGGATAACTTAAAACCCTCTATTCATTCATCACTGCACCTTTTTCGAATTCAGTTTCCGACAAACAATTCCGACAATTGAAATCGACACGAATATCGACAAAAAGCAAAACGATCCGACCTACCGACAAACAAACCGACATACTAAACGACAGACAAATAAACGACATACGAATCGGGACGCACAAACCGATGCATACAAAACGACATACAAATGAACGACTCGCCCGATACGACAAACGACTCTTCGATGACCGAGAAAAATATGGAGCAACAATTGTGGAATCGCTATTCGATAGCATCAGATAATGATTGAAAATTTGTAGACACCAAAATTCTTGACGAAATAGCACGAAATTATTTGGCAAACAAAAACTGAACAGTGCAAAGACTAGTTTCAGAAATGGTCGATGGAACTACATTGCAAGTTGACGATCTTGTACGAAAAATAGCAATACCACGGCAACGCAGTCATTCGATTGCAGTAGCAGCAGGAATCATCCAGATGTTAATTCTGCGGGGCTTCAAGGAAACACCGTGGAACGAAAAACAGAGGAACCTGGTCAATTTTCTCTTTTCAGAAACAATGCTACCCGAATACTCATCTTTTAGTGTTACAAACAATCAGAACAGATCGACACCGCCCTTAGAAGAGTTAGGAACCTCATCAAGAACCCCGACATCGACAGAATCAGCAACCTCAAAACCATTAGTTCTTCCATCACCCTCAGAACCATCAAGAAGTTCAGCAACCGCATCCTTATACAGGCACCATCATATTCAATTTTCAAAGCATGTGATTCTTCGCAAGACTATTCAGAAGAGAGCACTGGAGACTCTACAATATTGGCGCACTCCAAAAGAATCCAAAAGGTTTTGGCGCCAAGTTCTGTTTCAAGTTCGATACCATAGAACTAGCCTCCAATGACTAATGGAAGTAGCTGAAAAGGACTCCCAGAGAATAAAACGCGTTGAAGGTGGTCTTAAAAAGTGTAGATTTACTTCTTCGACCCGTTTTACGATAACTCGCTGATTTAAGAAACGGGGATCTTCGGATGATTTCAAGTACGATTTGGCTAAGGCGACAAAAACTGAAAACGTTGACAATTTTATCAACACTATTGGATCTCGGCTTGAAATTACAGGCTTCAAATCATTAGTTCCTTCACCGAGACACATTTGTCGAGCAACCGCCTAAATAGTGGTTCGTTTTACAAACTTCTGTAAGCCCGAGAAAACCTTTTTCTGGATTTCGAAGTGACCTAGTTTCTTGCGTCAAAGCAGTTGCGTTTTTTTCTCACTGAAAACCATGAAGTTTCAAGGATTACGCGTGGATATCTGGGGAGACAGCTGTGAGATCGGTGGTGTGGAAGTTACCAGGCTCGCGGTTTGGCTCCTCGATGTCGACATTAGTGTATAGTCGACAAACAGCGTTTTCTGCTTCGCAGGTAAGTCAATTTTGTTTTAGATACTTTATATTTCATTTAATTTAGACAAAAATCTCTCAGGTTTTTTAGTCCCGGCATCGCTTATGTTATATATAGTCAATATGGTTAACTTTTTTTGCTCTTTAACTAAATTAGTCACTTTGGCTCCACGCAGTGGTGTGTTTCTTCCAAAAAAAATTATTTGTCAAACGGAGCAGAGCGCTTACAGACAAAAGCCAGTGCGGAATTTAAGTGCAAATAGTTAATCATTGTAAATGGAATCCACAACCAAGTCTTAAAGCACTGAGATCTCAAGTTTATGAATGTACCCATTTGATTATTTTTATCAGTATTTGGAATGATTTTATCTTTTGGAGCCAGGTAGAAATTCAACTGCTCAAATTCACATCGGATCTGCATGTCCATGCCTGCAAAACTGGGTATTTGTTTTTTCCTTACTTAATCGACGAATGTTTCGAGCGTACCGTGGAAAAGACAGCAGATACGCTATGGAGCAGAACGTTGGTCCCACCAAAGCAGGCGACCAAGAATCGGGTTGGCTGTACAGCCAAACAAATTCCCTAAGACAGTTAGGAGCAAAGCTGACCTATAGTGGCGATTCACCATTTTTGTTGCGGCTGGTTATTGGTGTCTTTAACGAGCAGTCATCTGATACAGTTTCGTGGCTCCCACTGTATGTGTCAAATGACACTACAGACTTCCATCCACTAACTTGCGAGCCTGGTAAAAGAACTGAACTCAATGTGCCATTTCGAAAAGAGTTACCCAAGACGCCACTGTTCAGCATCGATGACATTCGATGCAATTGTCCAGATGCCACCCACATGATTATACGGAGTGTGGAAAGAAATCTTCGTACAATGACACAAAAAATAACCGATGATATGCATCCTCACAAAAAGTTTGCTATTCAGCGCTTTGAGAAAAATTTGACCAGACGGGGGGCCAAAAAGCCATTTTTTCATTTCGATAGGAGGATACACAGACAAAGCTGGCAAAGTGGGTGCAGTCTCTCTTTCTGGAATCTGTGCGCTGACTGTCTGCGCTGATAAGGAAGAAATGATAGAGGCTAGCTCAGAAACTGAAGATCTCTTTGAAGGAGTATGAAAAAAAGAAGTTGTTGTTCGCCCCAAAGAAAGTACAGATACGTACGTTAAGTCTGAAAAAAGTGCTACAAGCCATCTATTCAAGTCTCGTCTCAAAAGTTTCCGGAAAAACCCTCGGGTGCATCACCATCAAAGATGCCAGTGAACTTTCGAGAAAGAGCTTGAATGAATGCACCAAATCACTGAGAGCAGGAGGTGATTTCAACGCTTCAGAGTACGAAAAGTGGGCTGAAATCTACTATCAAGTTTTGGTGCTTATCTTTGAAGAACAAGTATTGACCCCCTTTAAACGAAAAAATACTCCTTATGCCACGGCTTGTGGTGAGCATTTTTATACGAAGTCCCTGGGAACATTTGTGCGAATCTGTCGAAAAATCCAACCACCATGCGAACAAGGATTTCCAAAGTAGGACAATGCGAGGCCGAGGAAGATTGCTTAAGCAAGACCCATTGTTCCTCGAAAGTTTTTTTTTTCATTCTGCAAGTTCATCAAATCTGGCAAGTGCACACGCAGTTTTCAAAACAATGCGGGAGACGTCTTGGAAGGAACCAATTCGATCCCGTCGTATATATATAATTGTCAAAAAAGTCTACAATTTCCGAAAGTTGCCGTCGGTGAAAAGCGTTCATCTAGTCTGCTGCTTTCTGGTTTGCGACTTTATGTGTTGGATACTCTCGGATAAACAGCGGCAGCAGTTAGGGAAAAGAAAACAAAAC